CTCAGACTACCACAACAGTCTGTCTAACACCCCTCAAATCCAAAGTCCTCACAGCTACAAGAGTATACACAGATACATACACTCAACTTCATGGCATGTTAGAGAGATGTAGAGTTGTTTTTTATTTTTTGGTTTTCTAACTTTTCACAGTAGTGAAAAATGCTTCTTTACTGCAATCACACAATTATGATAGACATCTTTCTTCAGGGGTGGAGGAACTGAGAGGCAGAGTGGTTTCTGTGGAAGCCCTGGCCTTTGTAACATCTGCTTTTGGCCCGATAGACTCTTTACAAACCTTCAGAATGTGACAAAATCCATCATATCTATGAGCTGGCTTTTTATTAGGAAAAATAAAAGATTTCAAGACCTCTTTGGGAAAGGCAAAAAAGAGGGACTTATTTCAGTGTTTTGAGATTTATTATTATACCTGGCTCCAGAGGCATATCGTAGAAGTACTTATTCTAATTTTTAAAATAAACAAACATAATAAACCAATGCAACTGCATGAGTAGTAAGCCATCCTTGCTTACACACATACACACACACACAGACTGATTTTAAGAACAGTATTTTCTTCTAAGACATATTAGCCCAGTCCATAGAGATTAGTCTAGAAGTAAATCATTTCGTGATCATTTAAATATAAGCATGCTTGGGCAGACTGTTCCTGTCTTCCGTGGCTTTATTCCTGAAACTGTCACACTGGACCTCAGTTTCCTCCTTTACTTCACTCAAAAAGCCTACAGTTAACCGTGTAAATTTCCACACTCCCAAATGGGACTTTTTTCATCAGCATAGATTTTAGGGCTTAGAAGGAAGTAGAGGGTGCAGAAGGGAGAATCTCAGAGGCAGAGGAAGGCATTTAGCTCCATTAATATTGTCTGTAAATGCTTCTGCTGCTGCTCCCCAGACAAGTGTTCAAGCTATCTTGGCTCCAGACTACATAATCTTAAAGTGTTCATTCCCCGGGCCCTCTTTCCAGTCTAAAAAATCCTATTCTCACTGATCCAGGATTCTAGGTGAGATTACCTCCTCCTGTTCAGAAATATATGCAAATCTGAATTGTTCTATTATTTAGACAGCTCTGAACTTCTCCAATCAAGCACCAAATTCTTGGACACCATCACATTTAAGAATAGGAGTGACTGAAGGACACAGATCCACTCTGCTCTACAAAGTCCTGAGCGTGTGCACTCTACCTGGGCAGACGTCCAAAACTGCTATTTGCAACGAGGCTGGAATGAAAAGTGTATCTCACTTGAGTAAAAAGTGGACTATCTAGGGGCCAGCCTGATGGCATAGTGGTTGAGTCCATGCACTCTGCCTTGGTGGCCCAGGGTTCACAAGTTCAATCCCTGGTGCAGACCTACCCTCTGCTCATGGGGCTGAGCTGTGGCGGCATCCCACATGCAAAATAGAAGAAAATAGGCACAGATGTTAGCTCAGGGCCAATCTTCCTCACACAAAAAAACAAGAAAGCAGACTATCTATTTGATTTCTCAAAATCAAAATCAATTGTACTTCCAATAAAAAGAAAAAATAGTAATAACCATTTTTGTTTTCATGAGTATCTTCAAATGCTTCACCTAGACTTCTTCACTTGTAATGTCACTAACTGATAATGACTTATAAAAAGTACATAGAGCATATTAATATGAAAATTTCTGAGACCAACAGGACTCAGAAGAGCATGTACTAATGGCAGAAGTTTTAAAACAGGAAGATAAGAGCCCTGGATTTATCTCTAATATGTGATTTTTTTTTTTAATGAGGAAGATAGGTCCTGAGCTAACATCTGTGCCAATCATCCTCTATCTTATGAGAGACGCTGCCACAGCATGGTTTGACGGTGGTGCTAATTCTTCCCCGGGATGTGAACACACAAACCTTGGGCCTCCGAAGTGGAGTGCACAAACTTAACTGCTAAGCCACAAGACTGGGCCCCTTAATACATGATTTTTGTACATTTAAATAACTTAATCTTGAGCCTTAGATCTCTACATCTAATAATAGAACATGTTTAATTAATATTGAAAAGAATTATGTGGCATCACGATTAAGGAAGCTTACTTTATCATAGCATTTATAGGTTTTCTGTTTTTTTGGTATTTAGAAAGGAAGGATTTTTTTCCAACTCAGTTAAAATCTTGTGTTGAAGGAATGGAAAACCACTGAATTTACCATCAAGCCGTTCAAGTCTAAGTCTCTTCAACAACTTAAAATACAATTTTCAAATCATCTTCTCTCTCATTTTCAATGGATATTAAAGGAAATTTAATCTTGATTAAGCCTAATTTATTCTCATTTAGCATTAAAAAAAGACATTGGGAGGACAGATGGATAAGCAGAAAGAAGAGGATTTTTAGGGCAGTGGAAATATTCTGTATGACATTATAATGATGGATACATGTGATTATACATTTGTCCAAATCCATAGAATGTACAAGAGTGAACCTTAAAATCTGGACTTTGGGTGATTATGACGTGTCAATGTAGGTTCATCTATTGTAACAAATGGACCACTCTGGGGAGTGACGTTGATAATGAGGCAGGCTATGCATGTGTGGGGACAGGAGTACATCAGAAATCTCTGTACCTTCCTTTCAATTTTTCTGTGAATCTAAAACCACTCCAAAAATTATCTTTAAAAATATTTTATTACTTCTGAGAAATATTACATTTTTTTCAAAATTCTTTACTATATTTGAGCTCTAAATTTGAAAGGAAGCAAAATGTTTCTTCTCCCAACCTTCTCTCTACTATGTATCAAATCATATACAATCCAGTAAGGAACATTTATTTCTCCAGAATTTTCTACATTTGTAAATATATAACTTCTACATAAAAGTCATTCTATAGTGTACTTAAAAAGGTAGACATAAGCTTATCACACAACCCAGCAATTCCATTGCTAGACATCTACCAAAGAGAAATAAAAACACATGTACTCACAAAGACTTGCATGTGAATGTTCTTAACATCACACCTCATAATGGCCAAGACTGAAAACAACCGAAATGTCCATCCTCTGGTGAATGGAGAGACAGAATGTGGTACAACCATATAAGGAAAACTGCTCAACAATAAAGAGGAATGAAGTGCTGATACACTTTACAACATGGATGAATCTCAAAAACATTATGCTAAGTTAAAGAAGCCATAAACAGAAGATCACACACTGTATGATTCCATTTATATGAAATGTCCAGAAAAGGCAACTCTGTAGGGAGAAAGTAAATTAGTGGCTGCCCGAAGCTGCGAATAAGAATAGGGATTAACTATAAATGGGCATGAGGGATCTTTTTGGGGTGATGAAAATGTTCTAAAACCAACTCATTGTGATGGTTTTACAACTTGGTAAAATTTCTCTAAAAGTCATTGAAAGGGATAAATTTCTAGAAATCTAAATTTCTAGTTTAAAATTGACTAAAAAGAAGAAAAATTCTCTAACAAAAAACAAATTTGACACATTTTTAAATATTCTGCATAAGCTATTCCATTAGCCTTTGATATTTTGTTGAAGAAAGTTGAGGTAAAAATAAGACTAAAAAGTCAATTACTAAAAACTTTTTTAATAAATTTTTTTCCAAAGTATACTTCCCTTCAAAACTGAATCATTTGATCTTCCAAAACATCTTTTTTAGAAAATATACGCCCTTGAGATAGCATCAGTAAAGGAGCATTGACCAGCATGGGTTATAGTAACAGGAAACAAAAAAGGTTTTCAAAACACTGTTCTAACCAACCTTGATCCAGGACCTACCCCCATTACACCATTTCCTCTGAGATTTATGGCCATCAGATTTCTTCTTAATAATCCAAATTCTGAGCTCTATGAGTATTAAATCCAAGAAGGAATTTTGTTCATGGCAATGGCAGTAAAAAGAAAGGCATCTTGTGAAGAGAGAATGCCGACAGTTGGATTTTGAATTTACATGTACACAGAGAAATGCAATACTCGGAGTAATTCTAATCCAACACTTTTTCCAGTATCCAAACCAATAATATGAGTGTTTTAGTTTTTGATTTTTTCCTTGGTGAATGTTTAAGTATCATCGGCCTCGAATCTCCACTTGCCAGTCCTGCACAGACTCTAATAGTACCACCTGCAGTTTTTGGTTTTCAGTTTAGATTTTGCCGTGTGCCCCGCTGATGCCCTGCGCTTTTCCAAAGGAGCCCATTTCGGCCGCGTTCCCTGGGATGAACTCTACGAAGACTTGGCCTCTGTCTTAGCCTCACTGGGCAGCGACCTGCCGCCGGGGCAGCTGGTAAAGCAGGGTCGTCTCCTCCAGAAGGTGCTCCCTCGGGGTTGCAGCAGCAGCCGCAGCAGCTTCCAGAACCCACGCCCCCAACGCCCTCCATCCCCTCAGCCTTGTGACCACGTAACACTCTAGTCCTCCCTGGCTCCCGGCCAGAGTCCTAGGCTCAGAGGAAATCCAAGAGCTGCAGGGGACACTTGGGATCATCTGGGCTAATTACCTCCAAATTTTATCAAAGAATGGACGGAGACTGGCGAAGTGAAGTGACTTGGCTGAAGCCACACAGTTCGACTCTGGCAGAGCCACTTAGAACTCGGGTCTCTGCTGACCGGTGGCCGCGAGCGGCTACCTGGGACTCAGAACGCGCAGCCCAGGGAAAACGACGTGGCATCCCCGGCGGGAGAGGCGAAGGGCTCAGCAAGTTATGACAGGAAGACACCAAGGTCCACGTTCAGGGTGTAATAGGCAAAAAGCAGGTGACCGGACCTCTCTGGTTACGCCTGGTGACCTGAGCGCCCTCTTGTATCTAAAAGTACCCTCGTTCGCTTGTTAATGATGTGCTCGCCCTGGCAAAGGGGCATCTGCTTTGAGTTGCCCCCGCGCTTGTGCAGACGGGATGGAAAATGGGAAAGTTGCAGTTCTATAGCCTCGCTCGCTCTGTCTCCCCGACTCCCCAAGCCCTTTCCCTCCAGCCTCGCACCAGCGACACCCACTCCCGCTGCCCCTCCGCCAGCTACGTACCACCGCGCGCAGAGCCGCCCGCCGCGCCCGGGCCGGGTCCCCTCGCGCTCGGGCTCGCCCAGCCGCTCGGTGGCCGGGGCAGCGCCGCGGGCTCTAGCTCGCTGCCGCCTCTACCGTCCGCCGGGATGCGGCCGCGTCTGAGAGGCTGGGCTGGGGCGCAGCCAGGCGGTGGCGGCGACTCCGGGGGCGGAGGGAGCGGCCGCGGGGAGCCGCCCCGAGCGCAGAGCGTGGCTCGCGGGCCGTGTCCAGCCTTCGGGGCAGCCCAGGCCACCGCCGAGCTCTCAGGGCAAGAGCGATGGTGGCTCTTCCCTGCGGGCACCGGGGGCAGGACTCTTGTTCCTGTGTGCGTGTTAACAGACAACTAATCTGAGATCATCACAGAATGCGTATCCTCCCCCGCCCCCCGGCCCCCGCCACCGTCAGCGCCCCTGGGTGACTGTTCAGCTTCTAAGAATTAGATTGATATGACTGCTACAACTTGTTGGTCCCACGCGTTTGTGAGCGCCCGGAGGGTTTGTGCTCCAAGTGTCAGGAGATTGCCCTTTCACGTAATCGTGGCTGCTTGCAGAAGGCACGAATGTGCATAGTTTTCTTATCTGCACCAGGAATCTGGGTCTTCCTTAACAGATTATTTTAACAGATTGGAAAGCAACGTACAAAGCGGACAACTTTGGGGTTAAGAAAAGTAGAAAATAATGTATATCAAGCTTCACTTTCAGGTTCTTTCTAAGGAAAATGAGGTCCTTACTATGACAGTCCCATTGTGTTTTAAACACTGTATTAAATGGATGACGGTACTGCGGATAAAATTAAGGTGCTTTTCTCTGCTTCCTGAGAAGGTGGTTTCTCCTCCCCGAGGTCCTGAGATCTCCTCTGTTTTCCAGAAAGTCATTATTCGTGTCCAGAGTCTTCTTTTTTTTTTTATTTTATTTTTTTTTTTATTGTTTTTTTTATTTTTTTTTTTAAAGATTTTATTTTTTCCTTTTTCTCCCCAAAGCCCCCCGGTACATAGTTGTGTGTTCTTCGTTGTGGGTCCTTCTAGTTGTGGCACGTGGGATGCCGCCTCAGCGTGGTTTGATGAGCAGTGCCATGTCCGCGCCCAGGATTCGAACTAACGAAACACTGGGCCGCCTGCAGCGGAGCGCACGAACTTAACCACTCGGCCACGGGGCCAGCCCCCGTGTCCAGAGTCTTCTTAACACCAACATGCTCATTGATACTGCTCCGGCTTCCTACTCAGAGCCTATGATAGCTGCCACGCACAATCGACTACTTTCAAATTCTCTTTTTAGGCAAAGGCTATGTAAGCTGTGACAATATAATCAGGCAAATAATTTAAAGTATCTGCTTATGGTGCTACCGTCTGGCTCTTCAAATCATTTAATATTTCTACCCTCACAAGTGGTAATAATCATCTGTTTTCAGACAGATAAACTGAGGCTCAGCAAGGTTAGATAATTTGAATAAAGTGAAATAGCTAAGAAGATTCCACGTCATTTTTTGAACTCAAGTCTTTCTGGCTTTAAGGTTAATTGTTTGGCATTATCAAATATATTTCTAAGGCCTATTATTACTTTATTATATAATGATATAGAATATTATTATTCTCCAAGGCAGATTATTCTAAGGCCTATTTCTTTTATAAAGCCTGTAATAGAGACACTAAAATGTTTGGACTTATGAGTTACACTATCATGATTGTATTTTTATGATCCTGCAACTGTATTCCTTATACTCACAAAATTTGTTTTGTAAAATCTGTATTTTTGGGTAAATTCAACAAAACCATTAGCCCTCACTGATATGCTTTTAAGTCACATATCTGAAATCATCAGAACCACTTGAACGCGTGCTCCTTGAAGGCTCTATCTTCAGTACCTAGATTGGTACCTGTACAAATAGCTGCTTAGTAAGCAATTTTTAAATGAATAAATATAACCACATTTTCTTCAATTAAGACAAAATAACAACTTAAGAAAAACACTTTTATAGAGTGCTTTTGTCTGTTTGTAGTGGATGGAAGATTATTGATAGCCCCTCTTTTCTACTAGGAAGGTAAGGGAGATGATGGAGGCAGGTAAACGGCCAGAAGGTTTCTGTAGCTGCTGTTGGGAATGGCAGAGGGAACCTGATCCTAAGTACAACAAAGTACTTTTGAGTCCAGGAATTGGTGGTCATAGTAGTTCTACACAATTGTGTGAATTTGTGTAAAATATTTGACTCTAAATGCAGAAAGCTTGATTAATCTGACTTTGGGATTTTGTCAAGCGGTTTGATAGAAAGACAAGGAGAAAGCTTGGCTACTGTTTTTAAGAGAGTGTTTGAAGGCCAGAGCTATGAGGTTAACTTAAGACTGTGTAGGAAAATAAGCGAAGACATAAAAGGAGAGAGAAAAAGAAGCCAAAGAACTACAAGTCTCGCTCAAATGAGAGAGAGAGAAAGATAAGAAGTTGTAGTCAGGAAGTGGGATAATTTTCTTGAGAGAGTTGATAGTAGAATGCTGGCATGCTTTATGGCAGATCTGTGGCTGGCATTGGCTGATAGAGAATGAAGATCAAGAAACTGGAGACTAAGGTACTGAAAAGGCTATCCACATGGACATTGAAGTCACCAATAGTGATGCCATGGGATAGAGAAGAAGTGAGTCAGGTACCAAAGATTGCCATGATGTAGTGGAATGATCTGGAACTAACTGGAAGACTGTGCAGACCTGGGGCAGAAGGTACATATCCAGGGAGCAAGAGCCTAACTGGATCGCAGACCGGTAGAAGAGATGGTACACAGTTCAAAAGCAATACTGGAGAGCTAAAAGGATGCCAGTGCTGCCTGCCATGGTCCTCAGGTGAGAGATCATGAGCAGTCTATAGTGAAGGGAGATCTCGGGGAAACTATTCTTAGAAGAAAGCTAATTTTCACCTAAAGCAAGAAAATGGAGGAAGCCTAATGTGAATAGGTTATGAAGGTAGTAGGATTTCTTCAGTATCAAATGAGGATTCTGCAAGGTCAGAGTGGATAGATTTAGGAGGCAGGGCCAGCTTCATGGTTGTGCAACCTGTGCAGTAGCACAGGGCTCTATTTTTAAGAAGGCCCAGTGCTTGATTTAATGCTCTGCTGTCCCTGCCTTGAAATGCTTCATTTTTAAACAAGTGACCTCACATTTTTCTTTTGCATTGAGCCCTGCAAATTCCGTAGCCAGCCCTGTTTGGAAGTGGAGTAGCGGGAGCATGGGTGAAGCAAGAAGCAGCACAAACGTCCTGAGGGGTAATGTATGAGAGAGGCTAAACGCAGGAGATTGTATTTTGAGGGGAGACCAAGAGAGGCAGGAGAAAGGATGTGGCTGCAAGGTTTCAAATGACATCTAGTATTGCTTTCTTCAGGGCCAGGTTAGCTGAGACCTGGGCAGGAGAGGCAGACAGTATCCACCAGCTTACTCTGTTTCTGTAAGGCTAGCGTCTCAGTTTCCCAGGGTTGCCATAACAGATTACCACAGACTTTGTGACTTGAACCCGCAGAATTTTATTCTCTCACAGTTCCAAAGGCTAGAAGTTCAAAATCAAGGTGTTGGCAGGGCAGTGCTCCCTCCGAAGGCTCTAGAGGAGGATCCTATTTTGCCTCTTTAGTTTCTGGTGGCTCTAGGTAATCCTTGGGGCTCCTTGGCTTGTAGCTGCATAACTCCAATCTCTGCCTCCACCTCCACAGATTCTCTTTTTCCCCTCTACTGTCTGTATTCTCCTCTTCTTCTAAGGACGCTTTTTGGATTTAGAGTCCATCCGGTTAATCCAGGATGATCTCATCTGGAACTCCTTACCTCAATTACATCTTCAAAGAGCCTTTATCCAAATAAGGTCACATTCACAGGTACCAGGGTTCGGATTCGGACATACCTTTTTGGAGACCAGCATTCAGTCCTCTACAGTGAGCTTGGCTGAGGCCACAGGTAGAGCCAGGCTGGGTGACGCTGGCAGCTGATAGCTTTTCAGGTCTACTTGGCAAACCAACATATCTATAATAATATGAAGCTTATCAATGTTTATAAAGCTTTCCATCCATGAGATTTAATACATATAAAATTCAGAATATTAAAATTGCCCAGAGAGACTTTACATCTCTAGGAGCAGCTATCTGTCCTTGGACACAAAAAGGGACTGGGGAGAAAAGTCGTGTACCTGAGACAGCGCCAAGTCTGGTTACAGGAATTTGAGGAAATGGGGTTCTCCACTCCTCCTCTTTAGCCATCCTCCATTCCAGAGGACATATGTGTTTCCCTGGTACTAAAGGAAAGTTTACAGGGTGACCACATTTCATCCCTCCCTAAAAATATGAGATTTAGAAGGGCTGGAGGAGTGACCTTTTACCTCTGTGGCAGAGGCTGAGCTAGTTTCCCAAGCTGTGCCTTATAGAGGACAATTTCAAAAACCCCTAGAGAGAGGAGAAAGAAATGTTGAAATGATGCTAATTGTGTTATCCCATCCTCTTCCTCCAGCTGACAGGCTCTCTGAGAAATGGTTAAGTAGCTGTCAGAGCCAAATGGAACTCTCCTTAAAAAGCATCACACTATTTGGTCCTTTCTCTCTTCTGCTCATGACAGAATAGGGGCCATAAATTCCATCAAAGCTTCCATCCATTATTTTCTGAGTGATGACAATGAGAAGATTCCAACTTGTGGCAGTGGGACAGCAGCATAACTGGGCTGAGGAGCATTAGAGGAACATCTTTGGTGACCTCTAAGGAAGTTGCCCTGAGACCAGGCTTGGTGTATGAAATAGTGGCCTATGGCCACAGGGAGTGGAGCCAGAGTTGCCCGCTGGTGACCCTGCTCGTGCTGTGTGGCAGAAAAGATGCCACAGACCCACATCCACCAAGGGAGAAGTTAGGCAATGAAAAGGTTGAGGCACAACTGGCTTTCAGAAGATCAGAGGCTGTAGAATGAGAAGCAGGGGGAAGAGGAAGAGACTGCTTTCCTTTTAGTGTTTAAAGTAGAAATTTCCTAAGAAAGTATTTCAAATTATCATTGTGCCCACGCATTTCTCCTGTTCCTAGTCAATGGGGCATTATTTTACAGAGTAGCAGAGTCTATGAAGATATGTGCACCCCTATGTTCACCACAGCATTATTCACAATAGCTAAGAC